AAAAAAAACTCAAAAAGCACCCAAAACAACCCCAGCCCAAACTTATAAAAAAGCCCAAAGATTTTACCATCTCGAAAACCGTAATTTCGTTCAAAAAAATGGAAAACAAAACCGTAACTTCGAGCCTGCGACTTCAATTAACCATCTCTGCCAAACGTCCCTTCAGTCACCGTCTTCATCAAAGTGTATTCTTCATCTCTCGAAACCGAAACTCCATAACCACCACCAAGCTTGATCTACTTTCAAAAACAAACACCACACACTGACCTCCACCTACAAAACCAAGAAATCGCTTCAAAGGTAAGACATTTACAAACCAAACCTATACTGTAATTTTGATTAATTGCTATAGAGTTCCAGTATAGGGTAATAACAGTATTTTAGATTCGAATCAAGGACAAAATCTTGAAACTATATTGGATTTCACTATTGCACTGACTACTTACTATCAGTATTTAAGTCGCTAGTTTACTGTCATTCTGATTAATGGCTGTAAAGTTCCATTATAGGGTAATAACACTGCTTGTTTCCTCTGAAATCCTATTTCTGATGCATGTCTACCACTGTAAAGTTCCAGTATAGGGTATTAATACTGCTTGTTTCCTCTGAAATCCTATTTGTAATGCATGTCTACCATTGTATAGTTCCAGTAGTGTTATTACCACATACTGGAACTATACAATGGTAGACGTGCATTACAAATATGATTTCATAGCAAACAAGCAGTGTTATTACCCTAGACTGGAACTTTACAGTGGTAGACTTGCATTAGAAATAGGATTTCATAGCAAACAAGCAGTGTTATTACCCTACACTGGAACTTAACAGTGGCAGACGTGCATTACAAATAGGATTTCATAGCAAACAAGCAGTTTTATTACCCTATACTGGAACTTTACAGTGGTAGACATGCATTAGAAATAGGATTTCATAGCAAACAAGCAGTGTTATTACCCTATGCTAGAACTTTACAGTGGTAGACATGCATTAGAAATAGGATTTCATAGCAAACAAGCAGTGTTATTACCCTATACTGAAACTTTACAGTGATAAACAGAAAAAACACGAGTATACTCATATTCAACTGAAAAAGCATACCTCAATTAATATGAAAACCAAATCAAATATCACAAATTTCTAACCACAGCTCAAACAACAAATCCACAACCAAACAGAATCTGAAATCAATCCAAATTATAAACAAAAAGAAATTAAAATCACAATTTAAAAATCAAACGAATATCTAAGTACAAATTAGAACGAAATCAGAAAATCTAATAGCTTACCTCCAAATCAGCAATAACAAAAATAAACAGATAAAATCAAGAAGAACTGTATCTACATGTCAAATTTAAACTCCAAGACTGCAAAAATTAAAAACAAAAACCTAATCAGCAACTTAATTAATCAAACATGAAATCACCATACAAACTAAGTCGTTGAATTTAAAACGTTCATAAGCCAAACACAAACAGAAAACACAACGATTCATACAATAAACATTAGAAAATACTGAAATGAGAAATCATCATAAGAATAAACTGTGAAAATACATACATCAGATGCGTTACTGATGAGCTCACGGAGAAAGATCTCCTTGTTGCTGTAATAGGTGTTGATGATCAAACTCAGAAGCTGGTTGATCTCATGGATCAGGACCCGAGTTCACCTCCTGAGTTGTAAAACGACGTTGCTGAGTTCGGCGTATCCAGCTCTTCAAAGAAGAGCTTCTTCAATGGTGACCGCAGAGAGGAAGACGAAGAAGCGGCAGCCCCTCTGGCTCTGGAAGTATCGTCGTAGTCGGCATTGCCGAATAGGAGATCCTGGTTGAAAATCGGGAACACTGGACGGATCTAGCCATTTTGGAATATATCGTCGATGGAAATTGGTGATCCGTCGGGATTGGTGCAGGTGAAAGAGAAATCGTCTTCATCTTCGTTCTTCTCGCAATCACCACTGGCGTCGACGTTCTGAAAGCCTTCGTCCGGCAATTGACACCTCAAATCTACAAAGTA